TCATTGCTAATAATATTTAACTTTAAGCATTTGATTTAGATGGTGTCTGCCAGGCTTCTCCATGTATTTACTCTTTTCCTCTTCATAATATAGTATTTTGTGGAAGAGGTACCATAAATATTATATAAATATTCTGTTTCTCATCAAATTTTCTTTTTATTCATTTATTTATATCAGTATGGAGTCACTGTTTACTGTTTTATTTAATGGGTTATAATCTCATTATTTATTGTGATGCTCAGATGCCAGTTGGAGCCCCCTTCAAGCTGACTTCTATGTCCTTTGACACATAATTTTTGAGCATTTTCTACTTTCTGGCACAACAAGATGTTCTAGCCATACCTTGTTCTTTTCATGCTATAAGCGCTAGGGTCAGCCATTTCTCCAAGAAGCTCTGGTTCTTTTTAATGGAGAATTGTGTTTGGAAGCCAAGATCTGGGCTTTATGTGTGTTCACTGTTATTGCAGTATCTCTGCCCCCAGGCTCTCTCAATGAAAGAACTAAGAAATATATGTATGTGATACATACACACATTTACAACTATATTTATTCCTATATATTTATTGAAATCTATGAGCTCACATGGATACCTCTAATTCCAAACCCAGCAACACAGGGTTCATTTTAACTTTCTTCCTTTCCATATTTGCAATTCCCTTTGACAGTGAGAAACCTGGCTTTCATTATCTTCAATATACTTATTTGATCTATCCATGTATGAAACCAAACTTCCACTGTCAACATCCCCTACCTGCAGAGATGCCTTCGTTCCTCACTTGAGCTCTGACACCTCGTCTGGGCTGTACAGAAGCCTTCTTTGCCCCACCAGTACCCTGTGCTAGTGCTGGGTGCTCCCCATGGGCAAAAGCCCCTCTCTCCCTGCTTGGGCTGACACTCCAGCCCCAGCCCCTCTCCATGTGGATACTCTCTACATCCTCGCTCTTAGATGCAGGCTCTGAGACCCTGCACCAGGCTGCCCTCCTTTGCAGACACTTTCCTGACCCCTTGGGTTCTGAAATCCTGCACCCGGTTTCCCCCTGACCCCTGCCTTACAAAAGGTCCTCAGGCTTGGGCTCCAACTGCCGTCTCATGCAAATGCTCTCCTCACCCTACTTTTGTCCCAATCTCCTGCCCCTGCCCGCCAAGATGCCCTCTTTACCCTTCTTGTGCTGACACTCCCCATGCAGATGCCTTCTTTACCTTGCACAAGCTTTGACTCCCCACACCAGGCATCCCCTCTGTGAGGATGTCCTCCTTACCCAGGTTGGACTCAACACCCTGTTGTGGGCCCTAATGGCTTCCCCATCCTGCACAGGCTGGCCTGTGCCCTGGCCAGTTCACCTGGCTCCACCTAATGGCTTTAGGATAAATTAGTATTCAGAAAAGGAAGAGGAAAAGCTATATACCCGTTTTTAGATTAAAACATTGTCTTCTGTTAATAAGACATTGCTTTTTGTCCTGTATAGTCACTGTGATTTAGCCAAATCATTGATGGAATTTTTTCCTTTGAATCAAAGTATCTCATAAATTCCTGAGTTTACTCAAGGCAATGTTAATTTGCCCATAATTTATGATACCTTAGATCACTAATTCATTCAGATTCCCCAACATTCTTTCAAATCACAACTTCTATTAAAGGTGTTATTGTCCAAAATCAAGGTAAAAGCCAAAGTACTCGCAGTAGGCTGCCAGACTTTGCATGATCTGGCCTCCTCTCCCCGCCTGCTCAGGCTCTCTCCTGGCTCCCTCTTCTCCTGCCACTCCTGTCTTAGAGCTTAGGCCTCTGCCCTGGTGGTCCCTCTTCCTGGAATGCTCTCCCCTCAGAGGTCCCCATGGCTCACTCCTGAGACTCCTTTAAGTTTTTGTTTTCAATGAAGTCCACCCTGAAAAGCCTATTTAAAATTGCAACTGCCCCCCACTCTGTTTTCCCTGCTTCATTTTCCATAGCATTTACCACCTTCTAATATGCTGTACTTCTAATACTACTTACTATGTTTATATTTTATTGTCTGGCGTTCTCCTCACCACACCTACTAAACTCTAGCTCCACAAGGGCAGAGATTTTTAATGTTTTGTTCATTATTTAATAAATATTTGTGGAATGGAGACAGCCATTCCCTGAGGTAGTTTGAATCCCAAAACTAAATTGGTGGCGCCATCTAGCGTTCATGGAAGGATGTGCTGGTTAACCCTGAGAGTCTTATTTGCATTAGCCATTGGATAAATATTAATAGTACTGATTTAATCAATTCTCAGTTACTGTTTTTTACTGCCCTCTGTGGTTCTGCAAAAATTAAAATGTTTTCAATGATTAAACAGTCATGGGATATAATGACTTCTCTAAGAGCAATTTCTTCTCCACTGACTTGCCTGTTCCTTCCAGAATTCCTATAGTGGTAGGAGTGTGATGAAGGTCTTCTACCTTTTAAACTTGGGGCACCTCCACCTCCCTACCTCCAGTCCCCACCAAAAAACAAACAAAAAAAACTCAATATGGTAATAGTGCTTGCTGTTTTGGTACACCTTTTCTCCAGAATACCAAAATACATATTTATTGATTTTTAAGTTTTGGTTTTGGCCTCAAAAGCCCCTAAATCAAAGTGATAAAACATCAGCAAGGGCAACAGTAATTTTGTTTAAAATAGCATCAGGAATCTCTAAGATAATAAACACAATTTTCTGATTTAGAAAATACTTGCTTCTTTAGATATGATAAAGAGGAAAAAATGCAGAAAATGAAAGCTGCCTTAAACGTAGATAATGAAAAGGATAATTAGCTAATTTTTACTGAATGCTTATTGTGCTAGGCACTACTCTGAAAGCTCATTAATCATATTAACAACCCCATATGTAGGTTTTCTACATTAAGCCTCATTTTTCAGATGATGGAGTGGAGACACAGAGAGGTTAAGAAACTTGACTAAAGTCACAGAGCTAGTAAACAGTGGAGCCAGGACTCAAACAAAGCCAAGTGGGCTGGCTCCACAGCCCATCCCCAAGAGCTTACATCCATGCTCCCATCTATAATACCTCCCCACAGAAGTGGAAATGATGCTGCTTTGTGTCAAAGTTCTTGGCCTGATCAAAGAAGTTAATTTATTAATGTCCTCGTCTTCTAAAAAAGAATGAGGGCAACCACAAAAGAAGCAAAAGCATATATAATTATCCTAGAAATAAGGTTTTATTTTCTTTACAATTAAGAAGTAGAAGCTACAGAATTTGCCCTGTATTCTAAGGCTGCTGTGGCAATGAGCAAAAGCATGTTAAGATCAAAGCCATGACCACTGAGATCATGGTTTGCAATGGCACAGTGAAGAACCAGTTGGTCTTTTCTGCCCTTTTACTTGTTTTTGTAACCCACTCCTCAGAACTTTTTGTTCTATTCTCCAATTGCCCAAAGCTTCCCCCTACTCTACTATTGGTTCTAATGTTTCAAAATAGATAAAATGAATCAAGTTCCAAATTGTAAATTAATATACCTATCTCTTGAATTTGCTTTATCTCAGCTGGATGTTAAAGACATAACTGAATTATCTGTTAAAGTTAGTCCCACTAAGGGGTGATTTATTAGGTAACATCCAGAATTATTTGCATTGTGCATTATATTCTTGAAAGGAGCATGAATTCCCCAGAATTTCAGATTGATGGAGTCTTTCAGAAGATATTTGTGAGTAGGTGGTTTCCAGGCTCTTTCTTGCCTGGAAATGATGTCCCTCTTACCATTCTCATCTAGAACCTAGGATTCTTTTTCTAAATGTTTGATTCTTTAAATTTTCTAAAATACAAGGTTATTTGGGAAGGGGACATGGTCATTCTCTATCTTGGATAGTTTTTCAACATGTGATTTGAGATTACCTGCTTCAGACTTACCTAGAGAGATTCTCAGCCCCACTTCTGAAATACTCCATCAAAATCTTCCAGCAGGGATCGGGAATCTGTATCCTAACAACATCCCCAGATGATTTTTATGTGTGCGTAAGTTTGGAAACCACTGACCTAAAGGGATAATTTTTAAAAGTAAAGCACAAGCGTCATTTGGGTTGTTGGATTCTTTCCTATTACAGACCACAGACCAGACTTCAAGCAGTATCATGTAAAAACCTAATTATAAGAAGAACAAATATAATTTTAGGAGACTAATAATTAACAAATCTATTTACAAGATTGTATGTCCTTTTGTTGTAAATTATATATGTGAAACGTCCCAATGAATTATATGTGTGAAACATCTCAAAGAATTCTTTGGTGGATGTAGTTTAATCCTGACTTTCCTTCCATAAAATTAACCAGCTGCCCAAAGTTTTTACTACGCTACCCACACACGAGTCTCCAGTAACCCCTGAGGCATTCTCTGAACAAGCCTCATTTCCTGTATAAAAGGAAATTGGCTTAAAATGAACCGAGTTTGGTCAACTGTACAAAACTTAGGCTGATTAAACTTCAACTGGTTATCAAAGAGGACTATGAATTCTGCAGCTTTGGAGATGTTTTAAAACAGGAAATATAGCTATTTTTGGATGAGTAGGGTATACAGTGGTGGCCTAAAGGTAGGATCGAAATAGAAGGTTAGAACTAGATTCCTTCTAGTTTTATAATTTGATTAAACTTACCTCCCCCCTCCATTGAATATTAACCCGTTTTTGTTTGGTTTTTAACCAGCTAAGCTTGGCAAGAATTCCTTGCCTCTCTCTGGTAATGTAATAGCCTCTTGAGAATCCTTTACAGAAACAGTTTAGATGCACATAATATACAAAGAAGGAAACCATTTAATTTGATGATAATACCACACCCAGATAATTCAGATACCTAATATAATTTTTCATTGGAATTATTTGGTTTGGCCAAGTTAATTGGGTAACTCCTCCCTTCAGTTACATCATATAATTACTCTTCTTTCTTATACTTTGTTTTCACTTACTCCTGATTCTTATCAGTTGTCACTACCTTTCTTCTCCTGTTCTTAACATCTAAATCACAGTTCAACCAAGAAGGTCACTTACCTTGAAAGTATTCCTTCTTTACAGCCTGGTTGCATGGTGCTTGTGCTGGCAGAGTAGAAAAGAGATATCGAGGATAAAGGACCCATAACACAACTGGGAACCCTTAACACATTATAAGGACTGACTCCAAACCAACTTTCTCAAAAACTAAAGAACTCCTCGAGAGAGTGACTGGTTGATAAACAATCTAAGGGAGAGCTTTTATTTAAAGATTATAACACTAAAGATAATTCTGTAAAACTACAATGCAAGTCCACCTGACCAAACTTTTAAAACATAACTTTATCTTTCCTTTAAGAGATGAGAAAATCTAGTATTATAGTATAAAATATGTAACTTTCATTCCTGTTACTATATTTGGATTTGTTCCACTGTATATCTGCATTTGTTCCAGTGTATCTGTGGAACCAGGCAGCCAATAATCTTTACTTAGCATCTCTCATATTTCTGGAATGAAAATAGAATGGAGTAGTGGGATTAACAGCTAGATTTTCAGAAGACAGTTATTTTGTTATTTAGTTATTTTGCCATTTTCTTTGTACGCTGATAAAAGCCTGTTATAACTCTCCAGAGACATAAACGAAGCAGAGAGAGATTGGGAAAGAAGGATGAAGAGGTAGGAGGAAAGACTGGATTCTAACCCACATCCGGTCAAACTCCCCAACTTCTTTGAGCTTCACTTTATTGTATTAATAAAATCAAGGGCTAAAGAAGCTTTTTAAAGCCTTTTCGAAAACTTTCTGATGGAACAGAAATGCTAATCAGTTACCACCATAATTAACCAGTGTTTCCTGATTTCGAAAAGACGTTTCCCTTTGTGATTGAAAAGAAATACGGAAGCCAGAATTTGCAGCGTCAGTACTGAAGGACTGACCTTGAAAGGCCAGGTAAGAACTGACGAATTGTGAACGAAGTCACGTGTTTTTAACTGGATATACTGATATCCAAGTGCCCAAAAAAATAATTTCGAGTCTATGGTCCACGAATTTTCCAGAAAGCCCTGTTAATGACACAACTTAGGCTCTTAGACATCTGAGTTAGCCAGATGGTGGTTAGCCAGCACCATTTTGCTTGAGGGGACTAAGACTGGATGCTTCGGGCAGGGTTAGGAAGGTTATAATTTGAGGAAACTAAAGAAAGGCGCCAGCAGTAGGGCTTTCCCAGGGTCTCCGATTAAATATGTTACGGGAGAAGTAAAACTTCCCCAAATTCCCCGGTGTGGTCCTCGGTGGAGGCTCTGGTTGCCCGCACCGGCAAGCCATGGAGGAAACAGTCCCCTACGACTTACATCCAAACGCGCGCGCGCTAGGAAAGCGCTCGCCCAAAGCAGATAGCGCGGTGTCGGCCGCAGCCCCCAACGCCTCGGCGTCCTGCGTTTGCTGTAGAGCCGGGCGCCGCGAAGGAACCTCCCGACCAGCCCCGCAAGCGCTGATGGGCGTCCTCAGGAGCCAATGGGCGCTCCGGGAGGCGGGGCAGCGAGGCCGAGGGGGCGGGATTTCCCGCGCAGAGGCTCGGGCTGCGCCTGGCAAGGGCTGTGCGGGCGGGGACGGCTGCCGCGCCTGCAAGAGAGGGCTGGCCCGGGTCAGCTGCTGCGGGCGGGCCGGCGCGGGGAGCTGTGGGCGGCCGCTGCGTCTTCTGCCGCCGCCCTGCCTCCGCCACGATGCCGGGGATCGACAAGCTGCCCATCGAGGAGACACTGGAGGACAGCCCGCAGGTGAGGCCCGGGCGGTGGCTGGAGACGAGGGAGACCCGGGTGGGCCGACCGCAGGCCTGGGCCGCCGCAGGTGCCCGGCCCGGCCCAGGTGGGCGCCGCCGCCGCCGCCGCCCAGGTGCCCTCGCCCGTCGCGGGCCGCGCCCCGAGCCGCTCAGGCCAGGCCTGCCGCCCCAGGCCCGCGTGGGCCCGCGCTGCTGGGCCGAGGGCCGCGGACGGAGTCCGAGCCGGCGTTCGTGGGCCCGGCGGTCACGTACGCGCGCGGGTCTCCTTTTATTTGACGAATGGTGCTGTTTTTATCACCGTGATGTGAGGTGATAAATCCCGATCGTGGAATTTTCTCCCCGAAAGCCTCTTCGGAGAAAATGCAGAAGGGGAGAAAACCCGGTAGTCTCATGATTTCTGAGGCTCAGCAAGGTAGAGAAGGAAATGCATAGTTTTTCTTCGGGAGATGCTGAAGGGTGTGTGTGGAGAGCGGTCGGCGAAGCCTGTGACCGGTCCTGGAGCCTGCGTCCGCGCTCTCCGCCCAATGTGCCCGTGTCGCGGCCGTGACTGTGGCCGCTGTCACTCGAGCTGTGCACGGCATGTGATGGACGGTGCCTTCACGGCCCCACAACTGCGCGACGCTCGCTGCAGACTCGGCCCTAATAAACTTATCAAAATAAAAGCCCTGTGTTCTGTGTTTTGTGCGTTGGAGACGATACTGGTATGGTTGTTCTAGCTTAAGACGGTTTTGGAAAATATAACCATTTGATGTTTTTTCAATACTGAAGAATGAAATCAGCTATATTAAAAAAGATGTTGGTGGGGGGCTGCAATTTGCATAGAGAAACTTCATCTCTAAGCCTGCCTTTTACACTAATTTAAACGATTTAAGACGATGTTGCTGGTTGGATACCACTTAGAATGAAAAATTTCTGGAGTATTGTTCGTTTAGAAATACAGTTAATATTTAGAAATATTTCATGTGTCTTTACAGATTAATATGGCCCCCAAAGAAGAAAGGAAGGAAAAGTCTAGATCCCCCTTTCCTGGATGGCACTTCTGCCATGGATTTTATGCCAGTCTTAATTGCCAAGTTGAAACGGGGCTCTGATTGTAGAATTGATTTGTTCTTTTTCATTCTGAAAGTTATCTTCATATGCCAGTTGTCTACTGGTAATGTACTCTTATCAGTATATACTGACAAAAAGAGAAACCCACATTTTGGTTTATCTTGACTGTCAGTATAGCTGGTTCACATTTTTCTTAATGATTTCCCTAGTATCAAGTTAAAAGCTGTATTTGTTTCAGATGATTTGCAAAAAGCTTTGTGGGATGTATTGGTCAGGTGCCCTTTGTCATTTTACTTTTTTATTATGTAATACTCAACAGGTTGCCTTACCTTTCTTCTCTTACCTGGCTTGTTTTTTATAGCCCTTAAAGGCTATAAACAGCTCAGAATGGGTTGCACAGTGCCCTAGCAATGACTTGGGAGGCAGAGATAATCTCTTGACTCATCTGATTAATTTCTTGAGCTTTTCACAGAATTAGTTTACAATTTGAGAATTAGAGTTTTTCCCCCCCTTTGGACAAGCATGCATCATATTAGTATCAGTTTTACAACAATTTTTTGTTTGGGCCGGGCGCGGTGGCCTGTAATCCTAGCACTCTGGAAGGCCGAGGCGGGCGGATTGTTTGAGCTCAGGAGTTTGAAACCAGCCTGAGCAAGAGCGAGACCCTGTTTCTACTAAAAATAGAAAGAAATTAATTGGACAACTACAAATATATAGAAAAAATTAGCCGGGCATGGTGGTACATGCCTGTAGTCCCAGCTACTCGGGAGGCTGAGGCAGAAGGATTGCTTGAGCCCAGGAGTTTGAGGTTGCTGCGAGCTAGGATGACGGCATGGCACTCTAGCCCAGGCAACACAGTGAGACTCTGTCTCAAAAAAAAATAATAATAATAATTTTTTGTTTGTTTTTTTGAGATGAGGGTCTTGCTGTGTTGCCCAGGCTGGAATGTAGTGCCTATTCACAGGCATTATCATAGTGCACTACAGCCTCAAATTCCTGTCCTGAAGCAATCCTCCCCCCTCAGCCTCCCTAGTAGCTGGGATTACAAGTGTGCACCATCAAGCTGGCTACATTGATATTCTTCCCATTTCTAGAGGCAGTTGAACTAGGTAAAATTCATTTGGAAAACTTGGGACAATTGGGATTTAGGAAGGGTAGAGACTTGGAGGTGATTCTCAGGCAGAACCTGTGGCAGGATGGAAAGCCTTGGATCTGGGATTGAGAAGACAAGGGTTTTAGTCTTCACTGCCACTTAGTGCCTTTTGCTTTAGGGCAAGTTACTCAACTTCCCTGAACCTCAACTACTGTAGATAGGGAATGTTTCTATTTTGGACCCTGATTATACAAAATACTAGTTGCTGGTTCAGAATAATTGGAAGGTAGGAGAAAGGATACACATACAAATGCACACACCTGTCAGGCACCCAGCAGCAAACCCTAATAACAGTTTGCTTTCTTTAGTCTTCTTTTCTTGTACATATTTTAATGTAATTGAGATTATATTGTGCATAACGATTTTATTTTACTTTTTTTTTTTTTAAAGAGACAAGGGTCTTGCTCCTTTGCCCAGGCTGGAGTGCAGTGGCATCATCATAGCTCACTGCAACCTTGAACTCCTGGGCTCAAACCATCCTCCCACCTCAGCCTTCCAAGTAGTTGGGACCACAGGCGTAAGGCATGGCACCTGGGCCTGCTTTTAACTTAACATTATAGCTTAAATATCTTCTCATGTTTTTACGTTCTCAATAAAAAATTAAAGACAGCACATTTCCTTAACTGACTTAACAATGAACCCATCATTGTACTTCCAGAGTTTTCCCGAAGTTTTGTTTTTATAAATAGAGTTGAGATTAATGCTTTTGGGTATAAATTTTTCTCAGTTTGGACTATTTTATCTAGGATAGAGTCCAAGAAGTAGAGTAACAAAGAATATGAAAACTTTTAAAACTCCTGATAAGTTTTTTATTAGATCATTTGATCCTAAGTGGCCTGCCAGTTGCTGTGTAAAAATATTAGAGCATGGGAATCATGGAAGACTATCCTTAATTATAGTTTTCCTTTTTTAGTTTTGATATACAGTAACTATTAGAATAGGGGAAATTTGCAAGTCCAAATCCACCTGGTCAAAATCTTTAGAATTATCTTGCCCAAACCACAGGATTCTGCGAAAGATCGTTATCTGTTGAGGCAGAAAATCTTAAGCCTATACTAGATACTTTGTCCATGTTTATATTTTGTCTTGAAAATCAGAATCAAAATTAAACTTGTTAATTACTAAGAACAGGTATGATCTTTAAAAAATAATTGATTTTATGTGTATTAATAGATAAACATTTTAATGATTATCCATCCTTGATAAAACGGTGAAGACAAACCCCAAATGTAGATATTTTTCTTTGCATAATATGAAATACTCACAGAGTATGAGATGTGCCTTTTCCCCCCCATGTTTTAACATCTCTGATTGAGATTTTCCTTAGAGTTGATGGTATTTTAACAATTGCTATCAGCCAGATGGCAGTTGCAGTGTAATTGGTATTGCCTACAAATGTACATACCTGGTTTTTTCTCTGGGCATACAGGCCAAGTTCAGCCTTTCAGTGTTGAGCCAACAAATCAATTAAGAACCATTTGAGAAAGGAATATCAGTCCTGCTTTGCCCGAAAACCTTCCTTTGATACCTGGTGAGATGTCAAACACTGCCATCAAAACTTGCTGAATGAGTCAATGGCTTGGAAGAAAATATTAGGGACAAAAGTGGATCACTTCTACGAAGTACTTGTTGCCTCCTCTTGGCACAGAGAATAATAATGTATGGAAAACATGGATATTGATGACTCTTGAGTTGAAAAGTGATTCATAAGAGTTAAACTCTGTGAAGTTTTAGAAATATATTAAATTTATGCTGCATTTTCCTTTTTATGTTTACATGAAAGCTATACAAGATAAAATTCTATCTGAAGGTTTATTTCTGTAAATATAAGGTAAGAATTTTAAGGCATAAGAAAATCTTAAATCATAAGTTAATTGCCAGCATTGTTTTGTCTTTGTAGTACATATATAGAAATAGTGCATCTTACAATGCATACCATCATAGATTCAATGAAATGGTACCATATTCTATTTTTGTAAGCTGCTAACTTTAAACGAACAGTAAATATACAATACTGAACTTGATGTTGGTACTTTAAAATAGGGAACTGTTTCAACCCTGTTTTGTGTAATTCCTTGAATTGGAATTACCCATTTTTAGAAAAAAAATAAAACTAAGTGGCAGATTTTTCTTAAGAATGTCACTAGCCAAACAAGATTTCCTGATGCTTTCTTTTTTACTTCTAAAAATAGCACTATGGGGAATTGGAGTGGAGTACTAGAGTGAAAGAAATTCTGTTAAATCCAAATCTCTGAGGCCTGGGAAAGCAGAAGACTTAAAATGAGGACTTCATATAATTGGTATAATGATCTTGTGTCTTTTTGGTTTTCTCTTATACTACGACTTGCTTCCTCTTCTGAAAATAGGAAGCTAAGAAATAATTTGATTTAAAAAAACAACTTCTAAGGCAGAGGCATAAATTATTTTTGGAATAAAAATACAAAGTCATGTTTTGGATTTTAAGCTGCAGTTATCTCCAGTAGTAGTTGGTATTTTAATTCTTCCCCTGCCTTTGGAATATAAAATAGTGAGTGTACCTTCCCTATGAGTTTCCTTATCTTTGATAATTTTTATTGATATTCTTAACATTTACTTATTGATAGGTTTTTTCCTCTTAAAATGAAAATAATTTTTACATGCTCATAGTAAAAACAAAACAAAAGTCAAACAATATAGAAATGTATGAAGAAGAAGAAGAAAAAGAAGAAGAAGAAGAAAACCCCAAATTCTGCACTCAGAAAAACCTAGGCCGAAAAGTTGGCCATGCTGGGGAGGGTACTGTGATGTTATTTTAGATTAGGACAGGGAGGGGTTTGGCACTACTAGAAGAGACCATGGAAGAAGAGAAATAATCATACTAAGTTATTCTGGAATGAGACATTTAAAATATTTATAATACATGAAAAAGCCCAAAATATATAATATGTGGAATGCTATTAATTTAGCTTTGAATGTTTCTGTTGATTTTTTTGTTTCGTTATAGAATTTTTAATTATAAAAATATACCTCTGTTCTTCTAAAGTTTGTATGACATAGTTGGAAAATACCTCTGCTTTAGTGAAGTGAAACAAAACAAAATACCCTGACTTCTTGGCATTGCTATCAAAAGAGAGAAAATAGACTGAAACGCAGAATTTTTGCTTCCTTTAGAAAAAAATGTTTTTCTCTCTGATTTATATAATGATTTACATAAACTTATTGCTTTTATTTTATGCAGACAAGGTCTTTACTGGGTGTATTTGAAGAAGATGCTACAGCTATTTCCAACTATATGAACCAGTTGTATCAAGCTATGCATCGAATTTATGATGCACAGGTAAAAAGCTAAGAACTAACTCAATACTATTATTTAAAAATGAGTCTTTAAGCCCCAGGAAGACAGAGATACTCTCTGTCTTGTTTACTGATGGCCCTGTCCTGGGCTCATAGTAATAAATCTTTGTTGAATGGATGAATGAACAGTAAGTATTTTGTATTACAGAGTTTACATTTCAATTATTAGTGTAATTTGTAGCACTACGGAAGTGATGAAGATTGAAGCTTCTACCCATTCTCCCCAAACGCAGTAAGACCTTTCTTACTGAAACTCACTGATAGTAGTGATCTTTGCCTAAGATTTGACTGAGGACCCCATATTGTCACTTAGTATTTCCCCTAATCCTGCTTTTAATATTATGGAACACTTCCCCTTTTTGAGTAGAGGATTTGCAAATAGTCTGCCTCTATCTAGTTAGAAGAAGGTAATAAAAATTAGATGTAGCTCTGGAGTACAAGGAGATGAATTTAAGAAGGGTATGACTAGATTTTCTTGTTGACCAGGCATAAAATTTGAGGTTATTTTTGGGTAACTTAATTATAGGCTTTAGCAGCAACCTGGGTTCTATGACAATACTTTCTTTGGGATTAATTAAGTGAACAAGTTTGATTTTTTTTTCCCCTCTTATTTTCTCCCCTTTCTGGATTCACATTTTCATTATGTACTTGAAAAGTTATGATAGTTGTTTATTTTTTTCTTGTGATAGGTCTCTTGAGGCTTTGATTTCTGACCACAGATAGTTGATTAATATGTAAAAGAGGCCGGGTGCGGTGGCTCATGCCTGTAATCCTAGCACTCTGGGAGGCTGAGGTGGGAGGATTGCTTGAGCTCAGGAGTTTGAGACCAGCCTTAGCAAGAGCGAGACCCTGTCTCTACTATAAATAGAAAGAAATTAGCCAAACAACTAAAAATAGAAAAAATTAGCTGGGCATGGTGGCGCGTGTCTGTAGTCCCAGCTACCTGGGAGGCTGAGACAGGAGGATCGCTTGAGCCCAGGAGTTTGAGGTTGCTGTGAGCTAGGCTGATGCCACGGCACTCTAGCCCAGGCAGCAGAGTGAGACTCTGTCTCAAAAAAATAATAATAATAATATGCAAAAGAAATATTATTTTTGTCATTCATCACTGGAAAAAACTTTAGAATTAAAAAAAAATCTCATATGGCTTTGTTGCTATGTTACGTGACTAATCAACCACATTTTGGTTTTATGTTAGTAAACTCTTATCATAGTCTAGTATTGGTATCTAGAGAGGCATAATCAGTCATCATTGTAGACTCTAAGATTTTGCTAAGGTTATGTCACTTTACTTCTAGCTTTTAAAATAGTTTAATGCTGGCCGGGCGCGGTGGCTCACGCCTGTAATCCTAGCTCTCTGGGAGGCCGAGGCGGGCGGATTGTTTGAGCTCAGGAGTTCGAAACCAGCCTGAGCAAGAGCGAGACCCCGTCTCTACTAAAAATAGAAAGAAATTAATGGGACAACTAAAATATATAGAAAAAATTAGCCGGGCATGGTGGCACATGCCTGTAGTCCCAGCTACTTGGGAGGCTGAGGCAGAAGGATTGCTTGAGCCCGGGAGTTTGAGGTTGCTGTGAGCTAGGATGACGCCATGACACTCTAGCCCAGGCAAGAGAGTGAGACTCTGTCTCAAAAAAAAAAAAAAAAAAAAAATTTAATGCTTAAGTTTTTATTGGCAAAAAAAAAAGCGCATACCTGGAACACTGCTGAATTCCTTTACAGTGTCTGTTTCATGGTTTGAATTTCCTTTTAAAGTTCTTTAATGGTAGTTCCCTTTCCAGTGATTTAATGAGGGTTTTAAAAAACATACTATACAGTATTTATGTTAAGTGATATTAAATAAAAGTGGCCTAGGTATCTTCAACTAAAACTTTTTTCTTAATCAGTAATATTGTGCTAATTTGAATGCTAATCTTTTTCCATAGAATGAATTAAGTGCAGCAACACACCTGACTTCAAAACTTTTGAAAGAATATGAAAAACAGGTATTGTATATTGGAGTTTTAAAAGCATAATTTAAAATATGCAGTGATACACGTTCTTATCAAGAATCCTTAAATTTTTTTGAGTTCACAGGTTATGCCATTGAAATTTCACTATGGCACTTCCTTTGAGATACTTTTAATGATTTAATGCTAGATAGAGAGGCTATCTAATTTACCTCTCTTCTCTTTACAAATGAAGAAACTGGGGCTTGCTCAAAGTTACACTGTTGGTTATTGGAGGCACTGGAGCTAAACACCACATCTTTGCACTCCCAGTATGGTGTGCATTCCAATATACCATGTTAATTGGTTACTTAACAAACATTGTAACTAATGTTTATTAATTATATAAATTACACTGTTTTATTAATGACATTTTTGGAGCTTATTCAAAATTTTAGAAGTTTTCTGAGGTTATTTAAAAATGTAAATTACAATGTTGTCATTCACAGAAGACATACAGCACTGAACCTCTACCTTATCTGTGTTTCTCACTTTTCAGCGTTTTCCACTGGGGGGCGATGATGAAGTTATGAGCTCTACATTACAACAGTTTTCAAAAGTTATAGATGAAGTAAGTGTTTATTTTATTTTGTTTGAATAAGTGCTCTTATAATTAGTCACTCAAGATGTGTAGCTTTTATTGATAACTTTGATTATTTTATGAGTAAAGCTCTATTACAAAGATTGCTACAGAAGGGCCTTATTTTCATAAGGCCCTGACAGCTGGCTCATAAAAACAATAGTTTTTATCTGATGAAAGCAAATTATTTTCCAGGAATAAACATATAGATGTGTTTTCTCTACTCTTAGTCCAGGTACCATTCAATCTTTTTATTTTTTTGTCTTTTAGTTTTTTAGAGATAGGATCTTCCTCTGTTGCCCAGGCTGGTGTGCAGTGGCATCATCATAGTTCACTGTAACCTCAAACTCCTGGGCTCAAGAGATCTCCTGCCTCAGCCTCCCGAGTAGCTATGACTATAGGTGTGTGCCACCAGGCCCAGCTAATTTTTTTTTTTTTTTGTAGAGATGGGGGTCTCACTATATTGCCTAGGCTGATCTCGAACTCCTGGCCTCAAGCAATCCTCTAGGCTCGGCATCCCAAAGTTCTGGGATTATAGGCGTGAGCCACTGCACCTGGCCCAATCTTTGCGTTGTGGTGTTTAATGTAGGCAGGAAGAGAAGAGATAAGTTGTGAGCTATAGCTGGGCTCTTTGTGGTTTCTCTTTTGCTATTAAGCAACATTTTACTGTTTAGTCTTTATTAATCCTGCTGTCCTAAACAGCCTTAATTTCTCAAACCAGTCATCATAACAAATCATTTAAAAAAAAAAGACCTGGAGGGTAAGAGAAAGAAAGTAGTGAGAGATGTGTGGAGAATCCATAACTATTCTCTACTATTGTAGGAAAACTCTTCTTTTCACATGAACCATTAGATAGTTTTGTCTATTTTAGTACTTTTAACTGAAAAAGTAATATTTTGAAATACTTTAATAACTCATTACAGCAAAATGTTATCCCAGGAAATCAGAGTAAAGAAATACTACTTGTAGGAAATAGAACTTTTTTCATTTTTAAAAAAATTGTGGTAAAATACATGTAACAAAATTTGCCACTCATGACATTTAGTACATTCACGGTGTTGCGCAACCATCACCACTGTCTATTTCCAGAACATTCATCATCTCAAGGAAACCTTGTACCCATTAAGCCATCACTTCTACCTCCCTGCTCCCCTCAGCCCCTGGCAACCACTAATCTGCTTTATGTCTCTGTGGAATTGCCTATTTTGGATATTTCATATAAATAAACTCATATAATTTGTGGACTTTTATGTCTGTCTTCTTTCACTGGCATAATGTATTCATGGTTCATCCATGTTGTAACATATATCAGTACTTCATTCTTTTTTGGCTAAATGAAATTTCATTGTATGGATATACTACATTTTGTTTATTCATTTATCTATCGGTGGACGTTTGGATTGTTTCCATCTTTTGGCTAATTTGAATAATGATGCTATGAGCATTCATATACAAGTTTTTTTTTTTTTTTTTTTTTTTGAGACAGAATCTCACTCTGTTGCCCGGGCTAGAGTGCCGTGGCATCAGCCTGTCTCACAGCAACCTCAAACTCCTGGGCTCAAGCGATTCTCTTGCCTCAGCCTCCCGAGTAGGTGGGACTACAGGCATGCGCCACCGTGCCTGGCTAATTTTTTCTATTTTCAGTTGTTTGGCTAATTTCTTTCTATATATAGTAGAGACGGGGTCTCGCTCTTGCTCAGGCTGATCTTGAACTCCTAAGCTCAAGCAATCCTCCCACCTCGGCCTCTCAGACTGCTAGGATTACAGGCGTGAGCCACCGCGCCCGGCCTACAAGTTTGTTTTTTTGAACACCAGTTTTAAGTTTTCTTGAGTATGTACCCAGGAGTGAGATTGCATAATTTTATGTTTAACTTTTAGATGAGGAACCACCAAACTGTTTTCTATAGTGCCTGCACCATTTTACATTCCCACCAGCAACATAAGAGGGTTCCAGTTTTTCCACATCTTTGCCAGTAATTGTTATTTTCTTTTTTTTTTTTCATTATAGGCATCTAAGTGAGTGTGAAGTGGTATCTCATTGTGGTTTTGATTTGTATTTTCTTGATGGCTAATGATATTAAGCATCTTTTCATGTGGTTATTAGCCATATGTTTATCTTTGAAGAAGTTGTTCAGATCCTTTGCCTGTTTTTTAGTTGGGTTATTTGTCTTTTTATTATTGGGTAGTAAGAGTTCTTTATTCTGGATGCCAGTTCCTTATTGGATATGTGATTGGAAAATATCTTCTCCCATTCTGGGAGCTGCCTTTTTACTTTCTTGATAGTATCATTTGATGCACAAAATTTTGATGATGTCCAATTTATATTTTCTTTTATTCCTTGTGCTTTTGGTGTCATATCTAAGAAACCATTGCCAAATCCAAGGTTATTTTATATTTTCTTCTAAGAGTTTTAAGTGGAAATTTTTTGACCATATAATGTTTTGTACTGTATCGAAATTTTTAGTGTTTTCTTACATAAAATTTATCAATGCCTTTTTTACTAGATTTTGTTAAATTTACATAACACTGGCTAAATGTCTTTGTATAGTTAGTTATTTGGCCTTTTTGGTCTTTCTTTTTCTAGCTTAGCTCTTGTCATGCAGTACTTTCAACTCAACTTGCTGATGCCATGATGTTCCCCATTACCCAGTTTAAAGAAAGAGATCTGAAAGGTATTGAATTCAAGCTTATATTTACTTTGATCAGCTGTCAGAAGATCAGTGCTTATACAATCCTTATTACTCTATTCTGACCACAGCCTGTGCCACTTTAATCAGTTACCAAACATTTTATAGGGGTCTTGCTAGGTGTCAAACTAGATACTGAGAAATATTGATTTGGATAAGATATCCTTGCCTTTGAGAAATCCTAGAGAAGGAGATGGGTAAGCACATAATTATGACACTGTATCTCTTATAATTAGGGAATGAGCAAGGTACTGTGGGCGCTCTTAGGAAGGGGTCAGAAAGGCTTCACGAAGGATATGACATGAACATGGAACAGTGATCACCAAGGATGTGACATGAACATTGAACAGGGAAGAGGAATTTGCTAGGAGAAGAGAATCATTGTTCTGTTAGAGGGACTAGAGTGCACAAAAGTATGGGTTGCAGAAATACATAGAGAATAACAAGAAATTCAATGTGGCTGCAATGATGAGTGTTTTAGGGTAAGACAGGAGATGAATCTAGAAATAGATGGGTCTGGATCATGACAAAGAGGTTAGACTTGAGTTTATGAGCAAAGGAAAAGCTAATGGGAGTTTTTAAGGAGTAGAAAGACATAATCTCTTTGTTTTTGGCATATGGAATAGAGTGGATTTAGTGTCAAGGAGACTGGATTAGCAAACTGGGAGTCCAGTGAGGTATGACCAAGGCTTGAATTAGGATAGTGGTACCCAGGTATAGAGGTGTGTGTATGGGCCAGAGTGGCGAGAGGTAGCCACATCTAACAACTTGCAACTTGGTAGTTTTTTGGTTTTTTTTTTTTTTGGTTTTTTTTTTTTACCCATTTAGAACTACTAGGTGATACACAATGAGAGTTTTATGGAATTGACTCTGCTTTTTCATAATTTATAATCCCAGTCATATAGACTTATTTCCAAAATATGTAGACAGAATAAAAACATTGAACTAATGTAACAGTGAATGATGAAGTATTTAAAGTATACATGGAATAAAGAAAAATATACTTTAGAGATAGAGTTAATGATTGTGATTGTGATCTTCAAGAATGGTCCTTTCTAAGGTTGAGAAACGATCTCTTTTCTCATAGTGTAAAGGGACTGAATGGCATAATCTTAATAAAATGTTTCTCATTCAGCATTTGTGCTTATTAGAGTCACATATCAAAAACGAATTAATAAGTTAGCTTCTGGCACTAAATCAAACTATTGCATATCTTAGCATTTACAATGGGTTTTAAAATTTGTTTTTGTGTCATATTCCTTAGTTGTAGCAAGTAGATTTCCTAGTGGTGTAACTCTTGCTAATGATAGTAAATGTTCCATAGACTAGCTGAAATACAGAGTAACTGTTTCACCTTGAATGTTGAAGCATGAAATATTATTTAGAGTTTTAATTATAGTTTAACTGGCAGTTATTTTCTAAAACAAATGTATTTCATAAATATGCTAAACTTAAATTATTCTTCAACTTTTTCAGAAATACTAACATTAAAGGAAGTGTTTCAGATTGCGAGTAATGGTAAGCCCTCAATACTTTGCACACTTATTTCTTGTAATGTTGCATTTGTCATTGTATATCCATTGCCAGATTCTTTTTATTTTTATTTTTTATTTTTTTTTGAGACAAAGTCTCACTCTCTTGCCTGGGGTGAGTGCCGTGGCATCAGCCTAGCTCACAGCAACCTCAAACTCCTGGGCTCAAGCAATCCTACTGTCTCAGCCTCTCGAGTAGCTGGGACCACAGGCACACGCCACCATGCCCGGCTAATTTTTTCTACATATATTTTTAGCTGTCCAATTAATTTCTTTCCATTTTTTGGTAGAGACGGGGTCTCGCTCTTGCTCAGGCTGGTCTCGAACTCCTAAGCTCAGAACGATCCGCCCACCTCGGCCTCCCAGAGTGCTAGGATTACAGGCGTGAGCCACCGCGCCCGGCCTCACTGCCAGATTCTTTGCAACAAAGAATTAACCTGATTAAATATATAAGTGAACATTATTTAAATCACATGACGACTTAAATTACACTGGTAAGACTATAAGAAAAATTTTAAAGGAAAGTAAATCAATCTTGTAGTTTACTATCTTCGTAACACTTAGGGAGATGATGTAATATTTTATCTTCCTTATTTTTCTTATATTTCAAATTTTTTTTTTTATGAGCATTTGGTTTTTTTTTTTTTTTTTTTTTAAAGAGATGGGCTCTCACTATGTTGCCCAGCCTGGAGCGTGGTGGCTTGTCCCAGGTGTGATCACATAGCTCACTACAATCTTGAGCTCTTAGGCTCAAGCAGTCCTCCTGTCTTAGCCTCCTGAATGAATAATTGGGACCACATGTGTGCACCAGCATGCCTAGCTGCATTTGCTATTTTTATACTAAAAAAATACTTCAAAAAACTTTTAGTGGATTGTAGTTTTCTTGCAATTAATTTTTTAAACCAATTTGGTATAGTTTTCTTGCAATTAATTTTTTTTAACCAATTTGGTAAGTAGATACATAATTTAGGGGAAATTTGGCTATGGGGAAAATTTGAGTGCAATAATCATGTAGTTGGTAAGGAATTCTTTAGTACATTTGCAGAAAGATGCACATGAAGACCATTTAAAGCATTTATAAGTTTTGCAAAGTACTGTTGTATTGTTGTTAACACTCATTTGTTTTCTAGATCATGATGCTGCAATTAACAAATACAGCCGATTGTCAAAAAAGAGAGAAAATGACAAGGTGTGATACATCTTTAGTCCTTCAGGATCACAATTAACACTTATTGTATTAGGGGGTCTAGTTTTTCCTGTTTAGAAATAGAGCCAGTGGTTACTTTGTATGTTTTGCTGTCTTGCTCTTAGTTTATTCTTTCCTTTTAGCTGTTCAAAACCTTTCTTATGATCATTAATCTATTTAAACAAAATATTTTTCTTCTGCCAAGATCTGATGTTATAAGTAAACATAACTATTTTAAAAATGTAATTGATGCCCAGTAGTTTTACTATCTCCTGCTTTGTATTTTGATGGCATCACAACTGTTCTGTTAGAACATATGTGTGTTCAAAAATGTCTTCTGAGATACAGTAGTCAAAAAGTTGAATCGTTGCACACATAATTCAATGAAATTCTGTTATGAGGCCCTCCTCATACAGGGAATATATATCTTTTGATATTTCTTCAAGGAGTGAAATACAAAAATATGACACTATGGTTGAGAAGAAATGCATTCAAGTAGAGATCAAAGAACAGAATATTAACCAGTTCACCTGGATATTCTTTAAGATCATCTCTCTCTCCAGGGCCTAATCCAGGGCTTCATCTGTAGGCCTTACTAGATCCTTCTGAGTGAGATGATCTCTGTGCCTGAGTATTGGTGCCTGTAGCCTTGGCTGCAGCTGGTGGTAGAGACACAGTGACTGCTTATTGGAATCCATAATTGGGTAGGACTTACTATGCAACAGCTACTGTGACAATAAAGGAGATGTTTTGCACACAAAATTCAGTATAAAAATCTGCTTTTCATTTCTAATTTTAGTTCACAGACTACTTGTTGGTGCAAATATTGATAAACATATACATTTGGGGATCTACATTAATCACTTGGCCTTAGAGAAGTAGTTAAAGGCCCTGGATATAAAATTTGGTACATTTTACATTGCCTCTGGCTGTTCCAAGTATTTTTAAAAAACATTCTTTCACCAATTTAATTTTATTTAAAAAATTTATTGAACATCTATTATATGTCAAGCAATATGTTGAGTACCTTGGGGGAACAATGTGAGTAGGCTCCACTCCTGCCCTCAAGGAGTGGATATTCCACATTTATTGAAGGCTTCTTGTGTGAAGGCATGCAGCTGGACTAGGTGCAGGAGTATAAGGATGAAGAGAAGGCATGAATTAACTCTATTATTAGTTAAATGTAATTAATAGAGGTTTTAATAAAGTCCAGAGAGAGCACAGAGAGAGCAGCAGTTAACTTTGATTGGTGAATTGGGAAAGATTACACTTTTAGGAGGTGACATTTACACTGAAGCTCCACTGGTTTGGGATTGGAGAGGGCGTTCCCGAGAGGAAAATAGCCTTTGCTGGAGGCACATGATGGGATTGAGAGACTGTAAAGATTAAGAGCACTGGCTCTAGCTCTGCCACTTATTTGCCTAAGATTATACTTACTTACTTAATTCCAAGCCTGTTTTTTAATTTATTAAAAGAACTCAATAGTTGTGACGATGAAATGAGGTAATGTATGCAGAGTACCTGGCTTATGGCAAGTTTTCAGTAAATTCTAGCAATAATTATGATGATAATGATGGAAGATAATCATTTCAGTGTGTCTGGAGCATAGGATGTATTTGGGGAGGTATGGCACAAATGACAAGGAAGTAGTCTGGGGCCAGATTACTATATTAATGGCCTTAAAATTTGTGTTAGAAGGGGTGGGCAGCCACCAAAGGATTCTAAGTAGGCAAATAACACCATGCAATTATGTTATAGGACAAAAATACTAATAAAAATATGAAGGGGACAAAACTAAAGGTAATCCAATGAAAAGATATTGGAATAGTTTGCAAAGACATAATGAAGGTCTCAGCTAAGGTTATTAATTGAAAGTGGTGAGGAAGGAATACTTTTGGGAGATATTTCATACATAGAATTGACAAGACTTGTGGTAGGAGGAGGAATCAAAAATGAGTCCTAGATTTCTTGGGTGACTGAATGGATCCTAGAGTCATTAAGAGAGTTAAGAAACAACGTAGAAGAGGAGTTTTTTGTGGGGAAGGTAGTGTCTTCAGTTTTGTTCATTTCTAGCACATAAACATACACATAAAGAACCCAGCTGGCCGTATGTTTCCTCTGGCACTTGGGAGAGTGAAGGGCAAGAAATAAAAATTTGTGGTCAATGAGGCATTGGTATATCGGAATATTCTTGTTACTTGATGAGGAATTCTAAGGGAACCAGGAAGACAGAAGAGCCTAATGCATATTGCATAATAGGTGCTTAATAAATATTTGTTGACTGAATAAAAGAACTCAGGAGATCACACATAGTTTAAGTATGAATGAAGACAAGCAAGTACAAGAGAGGAAGAATGGCATGAAGAGAACCAGGAGGGGAGAGTGCTATGCTGTGACCTGACTGAGGTCAAGAACTAATGGCTAAGTCAATAATAAACAGTTGTCTGCCTTTTCTCCATGTGGTAAGCTTTCTCTGCCATGTTCAGTTTAGATATTACATCATTTTCAGTTATGTGCAGAATTCTGTTTTTAATATGCATTGTATAAATGATGTGGTTGCTAGTTAAACAGGAAAATCAGCTTAACCAATATGTTGAAGGTTTCTAATAGATCAGAAAACAGGAAAGTTATACTCAATTGCTCATGATATGCCATTTTCCTTGGGTAGGCACTTCCCGACAGCCTCTACTGAAAATAATTCAGAATTAAGTAAATAATAGTATTTTTAATCTTTTCATTCAAAGGTGAAATATGAAGTAACAGAAGATGTGTACACATCCAGAAAGAAACAACACCAGACCATGATGCATTATTTTTGTGCATTAAATACCCTTCAGTACAAGAAAAAAATAGCATTGTTAGAACCTCTACTTGGGTACATGCAAGCTCAGGTAAATACCGTACGATGTGGATTGTAACCGTCCTAAAATCTTTATATCAAGCTTGATATTTACATTAAACGTAAAAGATATTACAAACTTTTGTCAACATCCTTGCTCGTGTTTGTGTTTTAAAAAGTAATTTTTAAAAATGTCATTAGAGTACTATCTTAAGGAAGTTAGGAAGAATGGCTTTCCTTGCAAATGAAGATTTCAAATATTTTAGGGTAAATGAAACCATGTACCTTGTATTTAGATCTTGTTCACCAAAGTTGGTAAGGAACAGAAAGCTAAATGAATTTCAGAGTTATACCTCTTGCTGGAGCTTTCACTCACTCTTGCTTCATAATAGATTTGAAAGAGAATGAACAAGTTTGAATTTTTTTCCTATGTTCCTTGTGTACTTCCTGAGTTAAAAATAATAGATGAACTGCAAAGTGCCCAAAGAGGTGTACATCAGGAAGAAGGTTAGAAAATTAAGTTTTGGGTAACATAAGATATTAGTCCCTTAAAAATCAAGAGTTTGAAGAAATTTGAATATTACCTCGGATAAAAGAGTACTGTATTTACTATATCAGATATAAAACTTATCTTTATAGTAAACATGAAATAGTTTATCTGTATAATTGAAATGGTTTAACATTTATTTTCCAATTAAAATTATTTATCATACATATATATTACTTGTTAGATTCAAAAAATATAAAAGGATATACAGTGGAATTTAAGTCTAGCTTCCTCAGTGGCTTCACGCCCAATAGAAGTCACAAACTACAACTTATTTTTACACAAATGGAAATAATCCTTTTTTTTACTTAACCATATATCTTAGAGATTGTTTATATGATTTACTTTAAGTATTTTTTAATGTGTGTTTGTGTTGTTCAACCCCCCACTCCTCCCCCACCCAGATAAGTTTCTTTAAGATGGGTTCTGAAAATCTCAGTGAACAACTGGAAGAATTTTTAGCTAATATTGGAACAAGTGTACAGAAGTAAGTATTTTTTTCCTTAAAATTGAAAATAAAATGACATAAATGATAAGTTAACAGCTAAATACCATGATTTAAAAATATTTAATATCTGCCATGATTGCTTCTTGGTTTTTTCACTATTTTTTCCATAGAATGTGAACTCAATTTCATAACACTGTCAAATCAGTTTTGTGTCTGAATATAACAGACACATAATAGTAATTATCCATAAGTGAAATTATCCTTAAACTCTAAATTGTGAGGGTTAGATGGGAGATTACTAAATAAATCTTGTTTCTAAGCCGTGAAAACTTAAAGAGAGAGAGAAAGCTGTTATCATAAGGTTCAAAAGGCTGAACAGTGATGTGGCCAGGCTGAGGCATGGAGAGAAACAAAAACGATTGTTGTTTTAAAGGCACAGGACAGAGCAGTTTGAAAATTTCTCCAAAGTCAGGCATTCAGTGTGGTTTTATTAGTTTTTTGGTTTTGTTTTTTTTGAGACAGAGTCTTGCTCTGTTACCTGGGCTAGAGTGCAGTGGTGCGATCATCGCTCACTGCAGCCTCAAACTCCTGGGTTCAAGCAAGCCTCCTGCCTCAACCTCCCTCCCAAGTAGCTGGGACTACAGGTAAATGCCACGACACCCAGCTAATTTTTCTATTTTTTTTTTTAGAGAAAGGGTCTTTAACTCCTGGCCTCAAGCAACTCCCACCTCAGCCTCCAAATGTGCTAGGATTACAGGCTCGAGCTACTGCACCCAGCTGCTTTTTTAGTTTTTGAATTTAGTATTGTTTCCAAAATATCTAAATTTCAAATAAAATGTAAAGCTGTTTCAAAATGTATTCATGTTACGTTAACCACCCATGCCACTGTGTCTCTGTTTGAGAAAACACATACAAAACAAATAATGCAGGTAAATGTGATTGGTAAGGAGTTCTTTGTTGGTTGTGGTTGGTAGTAAATAATCTGTTCTCTGTGTTAGTGTTCGCAGGGAGATGGACAGTGATGTAGAGACCATGCAACAGACAATAGAGGATTTGGAAGTAGCCAGTGACCCTTTATATATGCCTGACCCAGACCCCACCAAATTTCCTGTTAATCGAAACTTAACCCGAAAGGCTGGATACCTTAATGCTAGAAAGTAAGAAAACTATTGTTATTTTCACATGCTGTATATCATGTGAGGCAATGTCAAATGAATATAATAAATAACTGATATCGTCTGCCAAATTGTCTTGATTTTACTATAGGTTGAACCTTTTTAGTGGTGTTAGCATTTATGTGACCTTCTTGACAGATAAGGTACATGTATACTTTTCAGAAGTGGAATTGTACCTAGATATTTATTGAGTAATTTAGAATTATAAAAGTGAAACCAATTTGAGTTTAAATAAATCTCTCATAACATGCGAATGCTATTAAATATCATTTGTCATACCTTAAAATACAGGTAATTACAGCATCAAGTCAAATTTTAGGTTTCACCTGACAATAGGATGAAGCAGGTTAACCCTAGGAGTAAAATAAATTTTTTTGTTTTGAATTTATCCCTTGGAAGTTGAACTATAACCCCTATTTTATGGATTATCACTATAGCAGCTGCAATTTGATAATTTCCAGACTTGTTTTGGAAATGGCATACATTCACACAAGTGAATCAACATACATGAATTTATTTTAGAGACTGAAAAACATATTTATATTTTCTTGGTACCTTGCTGCCTTTTTGCAAGCTATTTCTTGTAACATGCTTTATCTTGTGTCTGGCTGATGATAAGGAGATTTCAGGTGTATCATTATTAAAGCGTGAATGTGCTTTCTTTGTTTAGTAAAACAGGTTTGGTGTCATCTACCTGGGACAGACAGTTTTACTTCACACAGGGTGGAAACTTAATGAGTCAGGCCCGTGGGGATGTAGCAGGAGGCCTGGCCATGGACATAGACAACTGTTCAGTGATGGCTGTGGATTGTGAAGATAGGCGATACTGTTTTCAGATCACCTCTTTTGATGGAAAAAAGTTAGTATTTTTTTCTACTATTAATAATATCTGTCATATTTGAAACTACTGAAATGCAGGATAATTCCTTTTTGTTCAGAAATGTTGTAGATATTCTAGACTTACATACTACGATAATTTGCTTCTTAATCTTGTAGAAATGTGGTGAATTTTTGTTTCTGAATTGGTTAAATGATTTCTTAATGTTTTGAGGTTGGCAAAGCAAGGTCACATGATAAAGACCTGTGATTTCATGTTAAGAGACTGGAACTGAAAATCCTGCATAGTATAGGGAAGACAGCACAGGTTAATGGAAAGAATCCCAACACTAGGATCAGAAAGTTCAAATTCTGGATCCATTACTTACTGTGTGGACTTAAGCAAGTAACTTGACCCCTCTGAGCTCCATTTTTCTACATGTCAAATGTAGGTAGGGGACTTGTAATCCTTACTTTGTAAATTGTTATGAGGTATAGAAATCTATTATATGTAATGTGCCTAACATACAGTAAGTGCTAACAATAGTGTTATTTTTAAATGTTAATCAAATATTTCTGATATTATTTTGTTCATTAATGTTTATAATGCCATTTTTAAAAATTTCTATTCCCTTTGCATTAAATGAGAATCTTTAGAGTAGCATTTAGAACAAATTTTCAAAAAGCATAGAAAAATATAAAAAGGAGTATGAAAAAAACCTATAATCTCATTAACCAGAAGCAACAATTAACTTTTTGATCTGTTGCCTTCTAGTTTTTAAGTACATTTTTTAAATAGTCGAAGAAATATTATATATATATAATTTGAATCTGTACACTTATTAAAAACATTTCACGCCTGTAATCCTAGCACTCTGGGAGGCCGAGGCAGGTGGATTGCTCAGGGTCAGGAGTTCGAGACCAGCCTGAGCAAGAGCGAGACCCCGTCTCTACTAAAAAATAGAAAGAAATTAGCTGGACAACTAAAAATATATATAAAAAATTAGCCAGGCATGGTGGCACATGCCTGTAGTCCCAGCTACTTGGGAGGCTGAGGCAGAAGGATCGCCTGAGCCCAGGAGTTTGAGGTTGCTGTGAGCTAGGCTGACGCCACGGCATTCTAGCCCAGGCAACAGAGCCAGACTCTGTCAAAAAAAAACAAAAAACAAAAAAAAACATTTCACAGTGGCTGCCTTATAGTCTATTTAAGGGACATATATTACAATTTAAACATTTTCCTAATGATAGATAGTTAGGTTATCTGCAGTTTTTTCCATCTATTTAATTAAAATATTGTTTTTAACCTTTGAACTTTCATAATGTTCAGAAGCAGCCTCTGGGTTCCTTGAAAGTCATTTTCCCCCTATATTTATATACATTAAGATACTATAGAAATAAATAAATTTGAACTTTGCCCCTTAAAGAAAGATATTATGCTCGCTATCTTTTACCAAAATTTCAAATTTCAAATATCAAATTGGAAAATATCAAATTTCAAAATTTCATATTACTTTTTTTTTTTTTTGACAGAATCTCCGTTGCCCAGGAGTGCAATGGTGAGATCATAGCTCACTGCAGCCTCAAACTCCTGGACTCAGGCAACTCTCCTGTCTCAGCCTCCCAAGTAGCTGGGACTACAGGTCCATGCTACCATGCCCACCTAATTTTTTAAAAAATTTTTTGTAGAGTCAAGTCTCTCCATGTTGCCCAGTCTTGTCTTGAACTCCTGGCCTTAAGTGATCCTCTTACCTCGGCTTCCCAAAGTGCTTGGCTGGCCTTATTTCACACTCCTTTTATATGATATATAATGAATGCCAATACTGTGTTTCAGTTATCACACTGGATGTTGGGAGTCCCTGTGATCATTTATCAAAATTACCAAATTGTTAATATGTTACTACAAATACTTACATTTTTATATTTTCAGTTTTTTGGCTAATACTTAACATGATTTCTCATTTCATATTCCTGGTGTGATGCAAAATTAGTCAAAATTATTTTTTTCTCTGGCCAGGCGCGGTGGCTCACGCCTGTAATCCTAGCACTCTGGGAGGCCGAGGTGGGCGGATCGTTCTGAGCTCAGGAGTTCGAGACCAGCCTGAGCAAGAGCGAGACCCCATCTCTACCAAAAAATGGAAAGAAATTAATTGGACAGCTAAAAATATATGTAGAAAAAATTAGCCGGGCATGGTGGTGCGTGCCTGTGGTCCCAGCTACTCGGGAGGCTGAGACAGTAGGATTGCTTGAGCCCAGGAGTTTGAGGTTGCTGTGAGCTAAGCTGATGCCACGGCACTCGCCCCAGGCAAGAGAGTGAGACTCTGTCTTAAAAAAAAAAAAAAAATTCTTTTTTTCTCTACCTTTTAAAATATTAACATCTATAGAAAAGCTAAATATCACTACATTAGTGATTAATATACTGAAATTTTTTATTTAACCCTATTAAAGGAGAAATAATAATGAAGTAAAGTTAGTTTTTTCTGTTAGGATCAATGATTTATATCTGAAATATATATGATAAGTACAGAAGTTGAAGTGCATTGTCTTAGTTGTTGAAGTGTACTTTTATTGTGGTCTGTCTTCAGAGGATTGGTGGTACCTGTTTCCTTTGATACGTTTGGCATAGATAGCCAAAGTCAGACTTGTTAAAGTCTGAGTCCTGATGCCTCTGGTGGTCTCCTTTTCCTAAGATACTGTTGGCTGTGTTTTGTTTGTGTTTTTTAATACTGATTGGTTTTTATATATACCGATACAATTAAAGATAAAAAGTTCTCTCAGATCATGTTCAAAGTACTTTTAAAAAGAATTGAGGTTCAAACTTCTTTTTTTCCAGATCTTCAATTTTGCAAGCAGAGAGTAAAAAAGACCATGAAGAGGTAAAATTTCATCTAGTTATTTTCTTCAGCAACATTTAAAAATACTCTTCTGATAACAAAACACATATTCATTATGAAAATTTTGGAAAATCCTAGATAATTAAAAATCCTTTTTTTAAAAGTCTGTTGTCTCAAGCAACATTCTTAAGTTTCTCACAGAATCTTATAGCTGGTAGACCTTAGTGATCATCTCTCTGCTATCTTAAAAGCTCAAATTCAAACATGACCTTGTGACTGTTGCCATCTGGCAGGCTGTCAGTATCATGGGATGGCAGTTGAATTTAATCCCTTCTCTCACCAACCCTCTGAGAAACTATCTGCTGCAGTAAGAACATAGTGGCAGCAGATGTGGCACGGCAGGAAGCAACTGAAGCTTAAAACTTTGGGGAAATGAAAGACAGAAAAACAAAAATTTGGGAGTGTCTGTTCTTCCTCATGAGTCTTTTATTTTTGGCTCCATTTTTACTACTAGTACACCAAATATGGAAGGTAAGGAACTAGCAAGAACTGATGCTTCAAAAACTTTTGTCTTGAGAAAAATTCTTCCATGAAAATATACCTCAGCTTGATTTCGAGCCTTTTTATCTGACATTATAATTGTGTTGGCCAAAGACAAAGTTGGAAATGCTGCAGAGATCTACCTTTTTTACCTCTTGTGGAAAAAAGTTAATATTAAAATTTTATTTTGGTCTCTGAGGAACACCGACAAATGTCTCTCTGCCTGCTGCATGGTTTACCAAACAAAATATTTGTTTAGTTTAGTGAGGTTCATCAGGCACTGGAATCCTTGAGAGTGAAGTAGAAGATGTGCAGAAGAGAATGTTTTTTATGCTAATTATTCATAAACTTGAAAGAAGGAGGTAGGTAAAATATATTCACCAGGAATATATGTATCTCTTAACTTTTTCGCATTGGTGTTAATTACGATACCTGAGTTCAGACTGTCTGTTTGGTGGGGATCACAGGGGGAAGTGATATAAGAAGATAAGTATAGACTATTAAATTGCAATTTAGTATGATTTTTATTTCCTTGTATGAAATAAATTTTGGATTTTTAAATAATCTGAATGTTCTCTTGTATATATGCATATGTTTAAATAATAAAACTACTGAATGTTCTCTATGTACCTTCCTTATAAGGTGTCTTCTTATAAGGAAGATTATGCGTTACTTCTAATGAAACTTCTGTTTCAATTGAATATTGAACATCATTTACCTTTAGCAGAGAAACTCTGTAGATAAAAATTATTAATTGTATTTTTCTATTCTCTTGCAGTGGATCTGTACAATAAACAACATATCTAAACAAATATACTTAAGTGAAAATCCAGAGGTAATATTTTTATTTTGTTACCCAGATCTAGCAAAATTGAATTCTGTGGCTTACATGCTTTTATTAATTAAGTTATAATTTCTCAAGTTCTGTCATTTTTTTAATTTGACCTTGAATAGATAGCTTTAATGTACCATGTATGTAATGAGTGATCTTCTTAGAACAATAATTTCGAAAGGTACTGAAATCAGTCAACCAACAAATATTTACTGGGTATTGACTGTTTAACTCTGTTGAGCATGTGGAGAAGGGAAATATAGAAGAAAAATAAGCCATGGTCTCTGCCTTCCAGGAGCCTAGCTGTATGGGGAAACAAAACTAAAACTTTAAGTAACATTTCAGATAAAACAGGATGTAATTGAAAGCATACAGTAATGGCTTCAGTTTTGAGAATGTTAGCATTAGTGTGCCCATTAGCTTTAGAAGCAGCTCTGTGGAGATGGTAGAAACCTGAGCTGGGTATGATTTGTTTGAGTTTTGAGGAAAAGAAGAGACATTGCAGATAAGAAAATAAAAACAAAAGTACAAATGCATAAATGGTATGTTTATGAAACAAGGAATGTAATTAGAGTTAAAGGTCTTGATAGAGAATAATAGAAAACTGAAGGATACATACAAATCACCTGGGGATCTTGTAAAAATGCATATTATGATTCAGTATGTCTAGGTTGATGTAGCTTGAACTCATAGTTTTGGAAATTATACCTTGAAAGCAAGGATATCAAAATGATGAACCCTGCAGTGTAGACATAGCCGTAGGTACAGTCCAGACATTCAGGGAGAACCCAGAAGTACAGAGAACTCTGGAAGGAATCAAGTGGGCCCAGACTGTAGTGCAGTTGGAAAAAGGCTTGGCCCTATGACAAGAGCAGTCTTGGTGGGCCTGACTGTGCTATGAACCCTGGCATCTCCCAGGGCTGGGCAGGGGCTAATGATTTCAGATGAGTCTGAGAGGGCTAATTTCTTTCTTCTGAATCTTGAACTGCTATTGATATGATGGTGGATTAGACAGGAGAGTCTAGACTAGTTTAGTGACTGATTAATGTGAAAGATGAAAGAGATAAATCAGGTAAAATGACTTCCAGGTTTTAAACCGAAGGAAAAAGAACAATTTGGAAAAGAAGAGTTGTTCTGTTTTTATGTTAATGACTTTGAGGTACCTGCAAAGAAAAATGATTTAGATGCCTAGGAGGAAATTTTGAACTAAAGAAATAAAAATTTCATGACCTTCAAAATATTAGTAATTTGTTAGTTTTATAATAATGAGTTATAATTATGTATGAAAACATATATATTATTATAATTAATTATAAGTTTAATCTTAGAAAATCAATACAAACTATAGGGAAGGTTTTTGCTTTTAGTAACTTGATCTCCTGCCAATCTAGCTTTTCTTTTTTGTAAGGTTACTTGGGAAAAACAAAAAATAAAATGCAAATTAAATTATTTATTTTATCACCCAGGAAATACATAGGGAATACAATGTTTGGATTTGAATAGTTCATACTTATAATCCTTTCCTACCAATTATCAGAACTCTTAATTTTTAGTTAGTATTTTCCAGGTTATCCAGGAATTATTTTATCTGTATTAATGAGAATAGAAATTTTGATCAATTTGTGGCGTTGTATTGGTATTTTTGCTAACTGTAAGGCACAGAAATGCAAGACTGTTTTGTGATTATTTTTTCTAATTTAAAGACCATTTTTAAAATTATAGTAAAAACCAAATTTATCATCTTAACCATTTTCAAGTGTACAGAAGGGTAAATATTAATATTAACTATATGTATATTATAAAAACAGATCTTTAATTTAAATACCATTTTTATTTAGCCAGTCTTTTAAATAAAGCAATAAGTCTAAAATATTTCTAATGGAAAGCTTTCTTTCAAACTTTGGTCTGAAAATATCCATGATAACTTTATAAATTATAAATATATAGATATTTCTAAGCATAAATATATTCTGGAAAATTATGAAAACTTTCCCAACACAGTTATACTGACTTTCATATTTTGTGAATATTTCCTACTCCTTCTACATTTCTTTATTCAACAAATGTCTACTGTGCCAGGCACTGTGCTGAGTGCTAGCAATACAAATCTTAATCCAAAATATCTAGTAGTTAAAAATTTAAAGAAAAAACAATATTTTCTTTAAAAATTTAATGAAAAAATGATTTAGAATAATTATGTATATTAGTAGAAAATAATCAGATGTTTTTCTAGATTAAAGGAAGCAAGAGGAGACTTAAGTTTATAATGTTGTGAAGTTAATTATATTCCTTAAAATGAGAGGATGTGGAACTACTTTAGTAGCTCTAATTTGTATTTTAAGTGAACTCAAAAGCATTCTAATAATTCAGAGTTATATTCAAACTTTTGGTTTTCTTACTTTACTAATATTAGTCCTTTTTTAAAAAAAATAATCAAAATAGGAAACTGCTGCACGAGTAAATCAGTCAGCTCTAGAAGCTGTCACTCCTTCCCCATCTTTCCAGCAGAGGCATGAGAGCCTTCGGCCAGCAGGGTGAGTTACCACACTGGGAGCTATGTAAAGAACTATACAGGCTATTTAAAGTGTTGGGGAGCGCTTTGATTTTAGCAGTGCTGCTTATATTAGTACCAAATAGTTCCTTCAACAACAGAGAAAGTATATTTTCAAAATGGTAAATTTGCCAGTAAGGGTGCTAAATAAATAATTATTTCAGATTTCCCTAGTGTTTCCAACTAAATCTCTAGGTTGAAGTGATTTATGTTTTTGAGTTTAATAATTGGAAAGAAAGAAGTCTGCTATTAAATAAGTAGCTATGATTTGGGATTTGTTTTTATTGAAATTTGTTTTACTCTTCTCATTGACTTATAATACTATGTTTTCTTTTTCCATAGTTTGTTAAGTATTTGATTTCCAAAAGAAAAAACTAAATGCAATGCCTTCTTGTTTTCCTTTGTTCTTAGACAATCTCGGCCACCGACAGCTCGAACCAGCAGTTCAGGATCCTTAGGATCTGAGTCCACAAATTTGTCTGCCCTCTCTCTAGATTCTCTTGTTGCCCCAGACACCCCAATACAATTTGACATAATATCTCCTGTGTCTGAAGATCAACCTGGCCAGGCAAAAGCCTCTGGCCAGGGAGGCAGGTGGGGACATTGTGCTATGGTCTGTAAAGTTTATGATTCCATTTCTACATTCGAGAGTCATCTCTTACATGTTAAGCTCATCAGCTATATTATAGTTTTTTTGTTTAATTACCTAACATAACTTTGATAGGGAAGAATCATGCAGATTTTTCTTGAAGTCTTTTGCCTCAATTAAAGGAGTTAAGATAATTTAGTTTCAAAAATATTTACTTCTGAATTTCTTATCATGTCTGTTTCTTGGATATTTACTCTTAAAATTGCAGAATAAAGTTGATAGTTCTGTCTTTAGGTCATGACAGTATTTTAAACATATGTTTAAAATAAAAGTTTATAAT